TAGCTTTGAGTCAAGTGATTTTCTCCACAGCCGCCCATCCTGTTTAAGTCCGCATAGAGACTTCTTCAACAGCAACGATAGGTCGTTTGGGGTCTTCGCGTTCTGGTTCTTCATCTCTTTCTCCTTCACTGCCATCCCCTTCGACACTTTCATATAAATATCCAGGTGCCCCTCCTTTTCGTCTTTGACGTAAGCATTGGGTACATCACCATGGCGCGCTGGTACGTTCCAGCGTCTCGAAAGCACCAGGATCAGATTTACCGTCCCCAATTCCATGACCGCTGCGAAAGTGAGGGTATAGTCCACTCCAAACACTTGTTCGTTCCCGCAAACGGCCAGACGATCCTTGTATCGCTCGATTTCCCCGTTCGCGTCGGTCTTTGTCTTGTAGACCCACTTTTTGTGCAGAACATGTGCAACCTTAGGTGACACTACAACCGTCCAAACATCTTTCGACTTCTAGGCATCCAGCTCTTCGGTCATTGCGACCTGCCACTGTTCGCGGTATACACTGTTGACGGTTTCCCCATAGTACTTCGGGTCTTGCACCATGACCGCATCGACCACATCGTGCTGTTCAACAGATTGCTCGTTCGGGGCCTCTTCAACTTCTCGCTTGCTCGTGGACCTTGTACGACATTGATCCATCGTCCAACCCGACCGTCGTCCTTTACGGCCTTTCACGGGTCGTTTCTTGACATCACGTTGTGGTGTTGCATCCGTCTGGCAGTTCCCTGGTGACTCCTCCTGATCGTCGACTCTATCCAGATCGGGTTCGAGCTGCGCGTCCCGAACATCCTTCAGTGCTTCGATGTTTTGGACGTGTTGCGTTACCACAACCACCTTGTACTTGGGGACGTACATCTTGTATCCCTTCGTCTCATCACCCTTGCCAATGATGATGTCTGCCTTCCCACGCTCTCCGAGCGATTTGCTCTTGGCTTCGACGTGCACCGAGCATGTCGATTCGAAGGCGACGATGTAGTCGAGCACATGCACCTTGTTCGTAAGAAGCTCCATTGGAGACTCTCCTCGTGGGTTCGCCTTTGTTCTACTTCGGTTCAGTATGTATGACGCATACTCAGCAGCATTACCCAAAAATGACTTGGTTAAGCCTGAGGCGAACATCATGTTTCGTACCATATTCATGATGGTTCGATGCATCCGCTCAGCCTCGCCATTACTGGCTTGGTTTCTAGCCTCGCTCACCTGACGGGATACGCCAGTCTTCAAACAAAATCCATCCAAGGTCTTGTATTCACCGCCTCCATCCGTGCGCAGCGCATGGAACTTGCAGTTGAACTCGCGTTCAAAGGTCACCAACAATTGTTTGAACTTGAGGGAGGCAGCATCCTTGGATTCGGCCAAGAAGATGAAACAACAATTGGACCGGTGATCAATAAAGTTGACCAGATAGGGATTTTCCAAACGATCACGTGAGGTCACGGACCCGTAAGGTCGGAGCATATCACTCCTCCTATCACATCTGTAGGAGAGTTAGCTCCCGTATCTTTCTTTGGCTGTGCTCCTTTGGTCAGTTTTCCTCAAGAACAAGCCAGGAACTTCGCACGTTTCGTGTCCGTCAGCCTTATATCCGAGCCCGGTTGCTTGGCCACCTTGATGATAGTGACAAGACATAAGTGACCCAGACAGCGATGGAATTGCATCAAGGTACCACACTGAACATCCGAATCGGATTCGTATTCAGGTGAATTGGAAACAGTCATCATCGCCTCTCGTGATGTGTCAACAGTGCCCTTACTGTGATCTTGCACTACAAGGTCAACACACGCTTCCCTCCTCGATACTCGAGTACGCAACCTTTATATTATAGCTTGCCATACGAGAAGATGTTCCTCTCGAGGTTTTCGGCGTACTGTACATCGAGGAGCCTCACCGATTTCACCACCCCAAGTGCAACGACTTATATCTCAATAGTGCCTTGGTGGGTGACCCGCAGCCCACTACCATCGGAGGCTGCGGTCAGACAGTCCCTTTGACGAGGAGTCGTATCGGTGATCAGACTAAGATCGTTAACCAAATGTCGGCTAGATCCAGTATCAAGTATCCACTGACTCTCGTGGGTACCCGTGCTTTCGTTGATCGCGAATACGAAGTTTTCTCTCGAGCTCTTCTTCTTTTTGCGCTGAGGACACATATCCCTGATGTATCCTACTTCTCCGCACAAGTAACAGTCTCGACTGTCATCTCGCTCTTGGCTCTTAGGCTTGAGCTTGACCTTCACATCCTTCGAAGCTTCCACAACGTTGACCACGTCGCGTCCAAGGTTCTTGGCATGCGTGTTCACCTCAGTAGGCTGCACAAATTGCGCCAATACTTCCGCTTGACGTTGGTGTCCATTCGGTGAATGTTCAACCTGGGCAACTTTGTCGTACGCATCTGCGTATCGGCATATTGGACAATGTTGTCCAGTACCAAGTGGTCTGCACCCCCGCGGGCATCGCTGACAGCTGTCAGGTAAAAAAATGGTCTGTCCAGCTTTTGTGCGATGCCTTCGGTGCCTCGAACACCTTCATGCTGCTTCATGCTGCTGTGGACCGGCGATATCTTGGTGCTGAAGGTCTGCAACATCCTCTGCATCGCATGCTCCAAGGTTTAACTTTCACGCCACCAAGTCCCCACCTCCCGACGGTAGTACGTCTGCGCCTTGCCTGCCAGTTATTGTCCAAGGACATCAACCTTGATGTCCTGTGTTCATCCGAACCCGCACGCGCGGTCCGCGAAGCCAATCTGACGATCAAATTCCTTGCCCCATTTAAGGAACCCACTACCAATACCATGGTAGAGTTCTTTGCCGTCAAATGGTTGTATCGCGAGTATCCGATGGCGTGCGTCCGGCATCCCCGCAGCTTGTTTCCCAGGGTGGACATACACCCCGTTCGACATACCGACACAGGGGTGGTATCCCGCAGGCATCTCTTCCCTCAATTGTACAAATCCGGGTGCCGGACCCGAGTTGAAATCCGCCACAACCGGGTTCACCGGTCGCCCATCACCATTCGCATGAATGTGATACCTCGCCCCGAAGTATGTCGCTGGCGACACGTTCGGGAACTTTTTGGGAGGAGGGGTGCGCTCCAAAGCTTGAAGATTCATCCCCGCCCCCACTCCCAGGGCCGAGCCAAAAATTGACTCCGGTGACCCCTGCCGGTCCTTGTCACCTTGCTCCTTCTGGGAGACCTCAATACGATTCATCCATTCGGATAGGTCCCCGAGCATGGCTAGCACTTGGTCCATCGCCCCATGGGCGCTGCCGACGTTTCTTCCAAGTAATTGTCAAAGACCTTTTTAGGACCATCGACCACCACAGCAGATGCAGCTTGATTGGCCGCACCGGCAACACGCTTAGTTGGGCTCATAACCTGTTACACAAAGGTGTTCGTCGTGTGCACTTGTGCAAGAGATGTAGGAAGCAAAAGTAAAATATATTGAGCGTTAAGAACTACCTCCTTCAACACTACGATATGCATGACCAGAAACGGAAACTACAACTCGACCATGTCAAGTCACATACGGTGTCCGTCTCTTCCTGTCACATGGCGTCCGTCTCTCACCGTCCCAAGTGTCCAGCTGTTGTCCTGTCTCACCCGTCCCATTTGGTCGATCGTCCCGTCGTTGTCCCACATGTCACGTCGTGCGGTAATCAGCCAATCAGGTGACACCGTCCCATGGTATAGCACTTGAACCTTGAAACCTGTCAAACACGATAGTTTCTAACATTCCCGCTACATCAAGTGACCACCGCTATCCGACAGCTTCCCGAGTCACTGTATTTACAATAACCACATGCGTCTATACTGCAGTCCGTGATACGGGTAAGATGCTTACTGCAATTCGATTGCAAGCAATGCCAGCCACAATGGTACGCTGGTATCTGAAATATGTTGATGATCGGAACTGTACATAATGCAACCTAGTACTGAAAACCAATTCAAGAAAGTGTGGCATGTAAGACATGCAACAGTTATTGAACAGCGTCCTAGTCACATTGCACCAAGTTGAGATTATTGCAGGACTAGAGATTGCTTCTAAGCTGACAACTTGCGGGCAATGCAGACCTTGTACGGGAAAGAGTGTGGTCATCTCATTGATCAGTGTATATGCGCTGGCTTTGCCAGTTTGTACATGATGTGTGACTACGTATCGTTTGACACGAGCACAAGTTCATGAAGTTCGGAAGCGGATTACAACGCCAAACACTTGCTATCAGAAAAAAAGCTCGTGTCATGAAAAATAGACCTCTAGCATAACGGTTCAGTGGGCTTATGATCTATATTGACCAGCCGAAAGTAAAACTAATGCCGTGGTAATCGTCAATAAGCACAGATGCAGCGATGAAGATGCATTCACGCAGTCGATGCATTTGCCAAAGTCTGTCTAGCTATGGAGTGACGTACCATCAAGAGTGACCGCGTAAAACAAAGCTTAAGTCAGGGACACAACATTCGCGATCGACCATAGTGCAATGCCACGAGCCCGTGAGCGGGACAAAATGTGGTTGCATATAACGGAGCTGCATAAGAAAGGTGACAACAAGTGCAAGAGATTCTGCAAAGATTCGACGAAATGGTAACGCTGACGTCGTTGGTCTATCAAATGTGTCCATTTACCTACTCAATCATTTGCTTCAGTATCAATTCGCAAGCCAGACAATCTTGCGCGGGTGTATACGTTTCTCATCAGTTGCATCAGCGAGTGCGGCGCAAGGCTTTGTCGCGCAGCTTTTGCCATGTCTCGATCTTCATTACGAGCTATCGTGGAAACCCACTTCCTGATCGGGAAACAGTGCTATCGCTCGCTGCAATACATTGTGCTTGCAAAAAGCGACCCATATGAGCCCATTTTTCACGTCGGTCGACTGTTCATGTACTCATTTCTCCCTTTGTTTTTTTTACGTTGGTCTTGTTTTATAACATTTCGAGAGAGCTTACCTTCCTCCAGTAATTATCCCGAGCTGAAAAAAACAATCCCTCGGCAGCATGACCGCCGCCCACGACGCAGCCGAAGCGCAGAAGACGTGCGTCGTGATCATTGCAATCAACTGCCATGTTGTACTCTTATATACGTGTACTCACCCCTCTGCTGTCTCTGCTACTGCTATAGACTTGGCAACGAGGAATTCAACGCAAAGAACTTTGACAAGGCGGTCGAGTGCTACTCGGAGGTGTTCCCCCTCGTTACTGATACTTTTCGCCTTTTATTAAAGGTACTGACTTAAGAGCTACTGTTGCAACAGGCCATCCGCTTGAACCCGGACAACTACGTGTACTACTCGAACCGAAGTGCTGCCTACGGCGCTGTGAACAAGTGGGCACTCGCTGAACAAGACGCCCAAGAGTGTGTCAAGCGCCAGCCCGAGTTCGCCAAGGGCTACCACCGTCTCGCCAATGCGCAGCAGCAATTGGGCCGCCAACAAGAGGCTATTGAGACGCTCCAGACAGCCCAGAGCTTGGCGAGGGATCCGGATAAGGTGCCGGGTATAAAGAAGCTGCTGCGCCAGCTGCAACAAGAAGTGGCCCCCAAGAGCGCTTCGTTGCGGACAGACGGGCGCCATTGTCAAGTGCCGGGCCACATTGCAAAGGAGCTGCGAGAGCTGCAGCCGCACTTCCAACAGATCGAGCGGGAGCTCGAGCAAGTGGACCGGAAGCTGGCGGCGTCCGTGCGGCAGAAGAAGCGGCTGGCGCTGGTCGAGCACGAAGTGGCCGCCTTGCCGGAAGCCACGAGGACGTTCCGCAGCATTGGCAAACTGTTTGTGCAGGCGACGCGCGACGAAAGTGCGGCGAGCATCAAGGGCGAAGAGGAGCAAGTGGACGCCCACGTGTCGTCGCTCGAGGCGAGAAAGCAGTACCTGACTCGACAGAAGCAGCTGGTGCAGGACAACCTCACGGAACTCTTGGCGCAGTGCACGTGATTGCTGGATGGACGACAGTCACAAGACTTGTGGTGGAGACGATCGTGTGGAGAATGGACGTGGAGTGTCTTGGACCCCGTCAAGAGAGCTGCAGTTGGTTTATTGTCAGTGTGAGGACGATGCAGACAGAGCTTGACAGACAAGTCGGACTGTGTACGTCGATATGATCAGAAGCCCCTGACCAGTGTTCTTCTTGTTGCACACAGATAGGCACGTGGGTTCATAGGTCGACTGTTGGTAGACGACCACTGACACTGATGAACATATGAGGCACAACAGTGACAGTAGTGATTGGCCAGCGACTCCTACTGTGTCGACTATGGCGTTATGGTGTGTCTCTTTGCTCCGTGGTCGTGCCAGCTCCTCTCAATTGTCATGTCACTCACTACCTCTGTCCGACATGTGGTGTCCATCGACGGCATCAGCGCGTTTCGTCAACACGAAAAAACCCAGCACTTCCCTCGTTTTAACACCGATACGACCGCCCATCGTTTCTAAACACCACACCGCCTCCGACGTGTCACTGTCCAATCACAACGTGTCAAAACCCACCGGACAGAGCCCCCACCGTCGCTGACTCCGCTCTCACTCTCATCGTATCCGCCGCTTCTATCACCGCCACGAGCGACACGTCCCGCCCATTGGTCTCTCTCTCTCTCTCTCTCTCGGCCTCGAACACGTGTACTGCTCGCGCCTATCTGTATACCTGTATACAACGAAACGAGCGCTCACGGTGTAGCCGACCAACGCGAAGCCCCGCGCAGCACATCGCATCGTCCGTCACAACAAAAGCCGTTGTCCATGCAGGCGCTGCAAGACGCGCAGCAGCGCTTTAATGACCTCGTGAATAATGACACTGTACGTATTTATACCATCAACGGGGGGGGGGGTCGTGTCACTACTGAGAGGGCCACGTCGTTGCAAAAACGAGGCCGGTCCATTACCCGTGCCTAATGTAGGAAGTGACCTGATTTGATGTGTCGTTTGTTCTGTTGTGTCGTCGGCTATTGTGTCATTCGCTCTGTTGTGTCGTTTTTGCGGTTTTGGATATGACAATTGTGATCATACGTGTGTCTCTGTTTATGTGTCCCTCTGTTTATGTGTCTCTGTGTCTTGTAGTGGCCCGAGCGCGTCCCCGTGACGAGTCTGCCGGACTTTGATGCCTCGTACATGAAGGAAGGGTTCTTGCAAAAGAAAGGCCAGCGGCTCAAAGGCTGGAAGCGTCGGTGGTTCGTCTGCGACGGCCGCACGCTGTCGTACTATATCTCGAAGAAGGACCGACGGCCGAATGCTGTGATCCCACTTGAAGGCTGCAGTGTCCAGGACGGCGGACTGAGTGAGACGTGGAACTCGCCGCGCATTTACTTGACGGACCCAGCGACCAGTATCATGTACTGCCTGTCGGCTGAAGAAGGAACTGTCGTCACGCAATGGCTCAGTGTCCTGCAAACTGCAGTCGCTCGCGTGCACACGGGGTCGACTGGAAGCGACGCGAGCGTCGAGTCGTCGTCGCACGGGTCGGCGCTCAAGAGCTCTGCCCTGCGACCGCAGCACAAGGCACAGGCGCCACCAGTGCCGTCGTTGTCGGACGACGAAGATAGTCGTGGGCATCTCAAGCGCGCATCGTCGATGGAACCCACTTCGACGCTCCCACGTTCGTCAATGTCAGCGCTAGTCGGATCAAGTGCGCCTGTGTCGCTGAATACAGCTACAAGCGGCGAGAAGAAGCGTGCTGTACGGATGGTATCAGCACCGTTGGCGACCGGTAGTAGCTCGACGAGCACGACGACAGTGCCGTTGCAGCAACAATCTCACCACCGCCCTCGTCGGACAAAGACACAGCGCTTGCCGACAACCATCTCGCTGGAGAATGAGCTGTCGCATGGACTGGATGTCCTGGAGGCCCTCTTGTGCGGCCATAGCCCGACAGGATCGGCGTCATCGATTCGCAATCACGTTATGTTTCGACCCATGGGTGCATCGAACGGCGTGCTGCGTAGCCTTGGGACGGGCATGAGCTCTGGGAAGCAGTATGCGCGAGCGAGCGTCGTGCTGCCCGTATCGTCCGAAGTGGCGGCGATATTGCTGACCGACCATGCGCGCCGCGCCGAGTGGGATTTACACTTCCCACAGTCATCGCACATCGCCACGTTTGACGATGCAACGGATCTCGTGCACTTGTCGAGTGGCGGCTTTGCGCAAGTCCAGAAAACGAGACCTTTCGTGGCACCACACGTGGCTGCTGCAGCGTGTGCTCTGTGCGCAGCGCTTTTGTGGAGTGCTGCGTCGTGGGAGGCGTTGTTCACTGCTATGGCATACGCTGCCGCGATTGGTGGTATCGTGAGCACCGTGGATCACAGTGCGTTTACCGTGCCCCGCGATTTGGTGCTTTTGCGTCACATGCGGGAGTCTGCTGCGCCTGAATCGCACGATTCGAGCGAAGACAAGTCCGTGGATGAGATGGGTCGATCCGTGGTGCTCATTTTGGAAAAGTCAGTGGTGAACGAGCTGAAACCAGTCACACCTGGAACTGTGCGTGCGTATGTGGGCTTGAGTGGCTGGCTACTAGAGCCTGTTGCATCAGGACGCGCCACATTGGTCACCTACATTACCGACTTGGATATGCAGGGATGGTTATCACCCTCAACACGTCAAAGTTTTTTGCTTTCGCGCCTGGACTGTGTGTCTGTTCTGAGCGAATACGTCAACCAGGCGCAGTTGTGTGGATCAGAGCTTGGCTTTGGTGGTGGTCTGGACGAGGACGGCGACGGTGACGGCGAGTACGATCCTCGAAGTGGTGGATACGAGGAGACCAGCGAAGGAAGTGTTGGAGATGCTGCCGATAGTGAGTCGTCTGCGATCTTCCACCCGAAGACATACATGCGTGGCATGATGCCGTTACCCAGCGGTGGCCTAAAACTGATCGACAAAGAGGTCGCAAAGAAGCAAGGTGGTGTGGTAAAGGATGTCATCAAGTCTGCTGGAGCGAAGATCCTGGAGGGCAAGTCAGCAGTTAGTCTGTCACTGCCTGTGCGTATTTTTGAGCCTCGCACGAATCTGGAACGTGTGTGTGATTTGATGCTGTATGCGCCGACGTTCCTGAACGTTGCGTACGCGCAGACTGACCCGTTGGAGCGCTTCAAATACGTCATGGCATTTGCTGTGGCAGGGCTTCATCACAGCGTTGGCCAGCTGAAGCCGTTCAACCCGATTCTAGGCGAGACGTTCCAGTCCACGCTGAACGACGGCACGGATGTCAGCTGCGAGCACACGAGCCATCACCCGCCTATCAGCAATTTTCAGTTCACGGGTGACAAGTACTCTATTGCTGGTTTTGTGCTTTGGCACGCCAGTATGAGTGTGAAGTCCAACGCAATGCTCAATACAAACAAGGGGCCTGTTCGCATCACTTTCCCGGACGCAAAAGACCTTCCTGGAACGACTGTTGAGTACAACTTGCCGTACTTGCAGATTGGTGGTCTGCTGTGGGGGGATCGTACGGTCGATATCATGGGCAACATGGTGTTTGAAGACAAGAAGAACCATCTGCAGTGTGAACTACGCTTGAACCCGGATGCAAAGTCGGGCATGGGCGGCATGTTCATGTCGTCGAAGACGCCGACCGATTCTCTCCGCGGTGTGGTCTTGGACACGTCGGTTTCGCCTTCGCGTGAGATCTGTGACGTTTCTGGCTCGTGGCTGCACGACCTTGTCGTTGGCAACAAGACGTACTGGGACATCAACAAGTACCAGAGTGGTTACATGGTGCCTTATCCGAAAGACAAGATCTTGGCGTCCGACTCTCGGCACCGCGAGGATCTACATTACCTGGCAACAGGAGACCTGGATGAGTCGCAGGAGTGGAAGGTGAAGTTGGAGGTTCTGCAGCGGGCTGACCGCAAAGCGCGTCTAGAGGGTCGACGTCCGAACCACTGGTCATACCGCAGTGCTGGTGGTCACTGACACGATTGTCGTGTTTCCTCAACATTGCAAATAAAGTCGTTCAACATGCACGGTACTACCAATGCGTTCACTCATCTCCCCAGTTGACGTTCATTTCTGCAATCATTAGCGGCAACAGCGCATCTTCTGTAGCCTAGCTAGCTATTGTGTAGTAACTGTGCCGTCTTCTGTCCCGTCGAGATGGTGCCAAAACTTACTTCCATGCCGTCTGCAGCGCCTTGCGCCGCGCAAGAGCCTTCGTGAGATACGTTGCCACGAGAAAAGCCAAGCACAGCAAAATCAGCATCTCGTGGTTGAAGTCGGACGGAAGCAGATCGAACGACTTTGCCGGTGCCATGCGCACGTAGAACATGTCAAGACCGTGAGCGAATACCAGCGTAGTCGACTCGAGCTCGGTGGAGGCCGTGCTGATCGCGTTCAAGTTCTCCACCGTTTGATTGTACGTCAGCATGGCCTGAGGTCGGTTGTACACGGGCACTATCGGCGAGTACATCATCAGTCCTTCCGCCTGCTCCTCCGGCGTTGGTGGCTTCTCGGGCTGACGCGGGTCGATCAAGTTGCGGACCAGCTTATATATCTGACCCGTCTCCATGCCGACCAAGACAGACGGAGGGGTGATGCCGTGCGCCGTCACCGTCACCTGCAAGGACTACAGAAACAAATAAATAGGCATGGTCAGTAATGACGTGATGATGCTAGCAAATATGAGCAGACATGTCAGCGCAGTTACCGTAATCTTGGTGGGGTAAATGAAGCTCTTTTGGAGGATAAAGGGTGCCCTGGGATCGAACGATGACCACGTAGAAGTCCACGATGGGCGCTTCCACGGGTTGAGTGAGTGCATGCCCACGGCACCATCGAAAAGCGATAGTGACACCATCTCCGAGCGCTTCTCCTCTACGTTCCAGTACGAGTACACCATCCAGTTCTCGCTTTGCACCATGCGCACAGGTCCCTTTGCATGGATATGGCGAGCACGGTGGATAATGCGTCCTGCCACAGAGTCGATCAAACTCACGTAAAGCGTAGACGAAGCCTCATTGCCATCTCCTGAGAGCTCGGTTGCGATCGTAGCTATTCCAAACAGGTTTGGATTCAGGTACTTTATCAGCAACGAGTCGTCGCCAGTGATGGTCACTGCTGAGTCAACGACCAAGTGATCATGGTGGCGAGACGTTGCAATCACGCGCTGCTCACGAGGCAGAACGATGGACCATACTTCGCGAGCGCGGTACTCAACGACGCTGGCATCACGGTTGCTTTCGATTGCATACCCACGAAGCACGTTCAGGCGTTCGTCAAACCGGTAGAAGTAAAAGTGCTCCAGCTCTGGATGCACAATGCCTGCCGTATCCTGTGGGTAAAGCGACACCTTCAATGAATCCTCCGAGATTACAGCCACCGCGCGACGCGCCACCGGCTCTTCATCAGTTGCGAGGTGCTTTCGCTTAGGCAGCAGGACCACCCACGAAGCACCCTTACCTGTACCAGCGTCGGCCGCATCCAACTGGCGACCATCATCGCCATCAAACCACACAAGCTTTGACGAGTTGGAAGCTAGCAACAACTCAGCACCCGAACCAAGGGCCGGGTGGTCGCGAGTCACGAAGAGCTGGTACTCCGGGCCCACGAACACTGACCATGCTACTGTGCTAGCTTCAGCGCGGATAGCAAACAGCTTGCCGCTCTCAGTAAGCACGATGATGTACTTCGAGAAACCAAAGAAGTGAGCATTAGGCGGCTCTTTACGCGCAGCGCGAGATCGATCCACACCACGCTGGCGAGTGCCGTCGCCTAGTAGCGACGAGGAGAACGCAATCACTTTGTCGACAAACTGCCGGAGATGCTTGATCTCCAGCTGCAGTTCCTCCACGAAAGAAGGAATGTGCTTCAGTGCTTGCTTCTCAATCTCTGTCTCTGCTGGGGTAATCCAACGCACGTGCTTAATGTTCGCCAGCGATTCTTCGCGCACCCACTGGACGTTCCCATTGCTAGCAGCATCAGCCCCGTCATTGTTCGACATCATTACAAGAGCGTCATCCTTCAAGACTACCACAGCATGGCAACTCGGACCGACGTCCTTCTTCACGTCGGAACATTCAACGAACGCGCGCCGAACATCGCCGCCAAACGATGCTACGTCTAGTTCAGCTTTCCAAGAGACAGAGACCGAGCTCTGGCCCAACGCATACGACGTGACTTCCAGCATTTTGCTAGAGCTTGTTGCAGCAACGTGGAGAAGCACCGAGGTATCCGTCACGGATTCTACGACAGCGCCTTCAGCAACCACAGCAACAACTTCCAGCGCAAGTGCGCCAGAGACTTTGAGAATCGCTCGCTTTCCAGATGCCAGAATCAGCACCAGTGCATTCAAAGTGCCCGAATCCACTGCCACAACCTTGTCACCGGCTAGCTTGAGTGAGCTGAGAGCTGTTTTCGAAGCACCCTTCATGTTCTCTAGACCCTGCAGCAGCAAGTGGTCCTTTGTGAGCGTTACCATAACCACCTTGCGCTGCTCACTGTCGTGACACAGCGCCTTGACAATCGGCTCACCGCTCTCGTCCTGCTTGTCAATGTCCAGACGAGTGTAGGGGTTCAAGACGTGACCCGACGTGACGTCAAACTGCACTACGTGACGGCCTGCCATCACAAACAGCACTGCATTGTCCGAGCTCAAGTGCCACAACAGCGTCGCGTCCTCAGTAGCTGCCGCAGCAATGTCTTCAGGAAGCGTCTGCACATTCACTGTTCCGTCCTTGAGATACACTGTAGCCACACTCGAGGACGTCACTACCACCGAGTGGTCGCTGTCTAGTGCAAAGAGACCACCAAACACAGTCTTGTCCTGATCACGACCGGCACTTGTCGTCACTTCGTCCCACAACAGCACGCCCGAGTCCGAGTCCCAGAGTCTCACATTGCGCCCAGATCTGAGCCATCACGCCACGGGTCACGTCACCTGCTTTGTTGTGTACCCTCTACAAACGCATCGCTAGCACGTACCGTGACACTGATACAATGCCAAAGGTCGTCCACTGAATGTCGTCAATTGCGTCTCCTGCAATAGCCCCACCGCCGAAAAAAGCACATTTAGCTTTTTTAAAACACACTTGTCCTGTTTTGAGGTGTATCGGTCCCCTAACCCCTCGTACCTTCGGGAAACACGCGCCGCCATTGGATCTCGCCGGTTTCCAAGTCCAAACGCGCCAGGGCCCGCGTCGCCTCGTCTGACGCCACGTACACGTCGCGCTTAGGTGCGTCCGTTAAGTGCGGATCGCGGGCCACAGCAGTGCCGCTGCTGAATGCGACAGCGTGCACGCGCCCCACGAGTTTCGTGCTCCAGTCAAACTCGCCCGCTTGGTCGGCGTACAGGCCATAAGCTGCAGTGAAGCTTAGCGCTGCAACTACCAGGAGCCTCGGAAGCGGCTGCAGCGGCGCCATCGTTAGAAATTCCGATCGTCAAGGAGTGGTGGTGGATTGGAAGTGGTCGTCCCGGATAGAAACCGAAAATGTGGTGCACATCGAATATAGAGGTCACGCAGCGCGTCGTGAGGCAAATAAAAAGCGCTTTTTCGATCGATGCAGCTGTTTGGTTGTAGGATAGCGTACCTAGCGAGAGGGCAACAAAGTACGGACGCGTGTGGGAATGACTCGTTTACAGGTTGGCATACGCTGTGTATTGAGTACTTCGTTGGCGGTTGAGTGCTGTGTTTGTGTTGGCGACCACGAGTCGGCAGGAAATGGTGGCTACGTTTCGTCAGTTGTAACAACAACAACGATGGACATGTACGATCTGTTCAATGATTTGAGGTAGACTTGTTTTAGCTGTAGAATATGCGATCTAGATGTATCGTACCATGTCAGCCGATGTGGCCGTATATAGTGCTGATGGCGCAAGTTATGCCAGCCCCGAGAAGGTCAAAGTCGTCGCTGTTCATGCAAGATTTAAGTACTAGTGATGTCCTGTTTGCAGCAAGATGATTGGGACTCTCACCAGTATATGACCTGCAAAAGGCATTTTCATGATTCGAGAAATGCCATCCATTCGTCGCGACTGATATGCTTCGTTCAGGTAAGCAGAAGTACAACGTGAAGCCGCACTGTTGGATCGATAAGTAACCAAAAGTAAGCAATCAATTGACGTTCTGCTCCGTGTGAGACCGGCTGACTCACACCAGTCGAAAGAATTTGTCATGCGGTTGAACCTGTTTATCGTTCTGGGACCCACTTCATACTTTGCGCAAATTGATGCGATTCAGGCAGACAATGCATTACCTTGAACGTGATAAGGCGTGAATGGGCAGCCTCTTCACTTCGACCATAGACCTTGGTGCATCAACTCGCACCGATATGAGCATTCGCATATGGTAGAAGCGCAAGCTACTGACTGGATTTTTACAGGTGCTAAACATCGTCTTCAACGTCAACCTTACGTGAGAGATTTATGCTGGGACTGAGCAGCGATGCTGATCGATGCAGCACACACAAAAGAGACGCTTGCGCTACTAGTTGATCTTGGTTACTGCCTGAATGGCATCATTCTTGCTTGCACGGTCGCTTTTCGAGAAGCTGCCAGTCTAGTGTCGTTTGCGTTGTATAAGGTCTTTTTCTGTGACAACAGTACTTGCTTGCCAGCTCAGAGTAAGGATGATCGCGTTGTTGAATGTCTGTTTTCTGTGGCAACAGTTCTTGCTTGTCGACACCCTGAATGAGGATCAAACATCGGATACACAAACAGATCCGACACCACCAGACCCCTCACTGGGAAGGGTCGATCTTTCTCATTTCGATTGGACAAATGTGTATGAATGCCAAATTTTTCACTTCGTTATCTTGCCGGTTTTCAGTTCGTTATCTTACCAGGCATGTTTGCATCGGGTCGTAAAATATGCTTTCTTGGTAAAAAATTTCCGACCATGTGCAGTATCGAAACTTATCTCCACTTTTATTTGGTGTGTATTGTTATTATCGAACCTTGTCGATGATACGTTTATCTTTCACTCATTTTAGCGTGTACTTCTTGTAAAACCATCGATGCAATGCATACAAAACAAATGAGCCAGACTGACGCAAAAGACTGCTTTTAGCACGTTTGATCTTGCTGTTGACAAGTTGCACCGACTGACTTCATCGGCGGTCTTAGGCGTCGAACGCCGAAAGGTTGCATTGACTCACTTCTACGATCGCACAAGCTGAGCGCAAGTCATCTCTGGGTACATTCCAAATGTACTAATATGATGCTGATGATCATGAGGTCTCCGTCTAGGCGGGGCATGACTTCGAGACAATAACAATTTGGTCGCAAAAGAACAAACTAGTATATGAAGAAAGCTGACAGGTAACGTGGTAGACATGGGTACAAAGGACAAAAGAGAGGTTGATGTATATTGCTCAAGCATATACATATGAAGTGGCAGCGCCAAATGCCGTTGATCTATATCATTCGCATGTCTAATTAATTGGAGTCTTACGCGTGTAAACAAAGCAGAGAGGCGGGAGAGGCGCAAAATAGCTGAGTAAAAATGTTTTATTTTACTAGATATGTTCTCGATTCTACGGCGAGGCAGAAGGCTACGTCATTAATGCTGCCTTCTTATGGAAAAGGTTACGGGCAGGCGAAAGAAACCCGGCATGTAGAGCTCTCGTGTGATGCTTCTTATCTACCGACACCCAAGCAGCAGCATTGTCGAAGTGCTATTGGTCACATTGTACCATCATACGGATATCGCAAAGGAAGTGCAACACTTTTTTTGCCCTAGACTACGCATCTGTGAGGAGAGTGGTATATCGACAGTTGTGACTTATCAAGCGCTTGTTAATAATCAGCGTAGGCTTTTCCTCGGAAGAGTCGAGTCAATAGTGTGGCCTATGCAATACAACATGGACTACATCGAGCACAGCTTCGACTTTATCGTTTAAGTGAACAATCTACAGTCGAAGGGATCCATGAATGAAGAGATCGATAGATTAATCATTATTATGGATACAACACGATGGAGATGGACAACATGTATTGCCGATCCATCTAGCCCTTTGGCTTCAGAGCTATAATCAAGTCGATGGAGCTGCGTATCGAAACCATTTGCATACACCCATGTTCTACCATCTGCATACATCCATGTTCTATGATGTATCGCTTCATATACAAAAGGCTAAGCTTCACATATGCAGCAATTAGGCGGACACTCTTTGTAGCGATTGATCGCCAGCCTCCGTTGCTATATAGCGTGTGAATCAATCCGTGGAACGAAAGCTTCCGTATGCTTACGCACAGCAGTATGTCTCGTAAGTATGCTTCGTCAGTGTTCGTGCCATCTTGATATGACCTCGCGTCAGCCCCATCAACGCCGAGTGAGACAGCACTGACTCAACGTAGCGAATCGTGGTCCTTTCGCTATGCGAGTCGTACCGCGGCCGATTGGTCTGAGCTGTCATTAAGATGCATGCCGAGCCACAGTGGCTGCGTAAAACTTTTTGAACTGTGATTCGTTCTGCGCGCTAGGGAAGAGGGAGTGCGACGACACTTTGTCCCTTTCGTTTAGTACTATCGCCACCAAGTACGACAACTGGGTTAGACGACGACACTCAAGCCAAAAGCGACGAGTCAACATGGAAGAAAGCGTTGCACCTAGCACATACTTTATCAAGTGCAGCGTTGAGGACTAGTGAAGGCTATACCAATTGCCTCACATATGAAATCAAGACCTTCAGCTCTGCGATGCAGTCCACTCGTTGCCTCCATCAGAGCAGAAGTCTACCATATATGCGGAGGACCTGATCTATACCACACGCGTACGCCATCTCACCATCCTGGAACTCATCACCCCGGTTTCCATTTCGAAAACGTCACCGCCCAGCGCGACGTATGTTATCGTCTTCATGCACCGAGAGCTGAGTCATCGTAGTCACTATCTTTGCCGTCAATATTGCGCGATCACTTTGGTGGTCTTCCTACCCGTTCTCCACCGCCCTTACAGATACGTCTGGCTACGCTCATGAAGTGCAGTATACGACATAAGCCAGCGTCGACAAAAACAAAGGCATAGTCGAGTAAGCGGCCGGTAGGCAAAGCACAGGTGGGTAAAAAAGACAAGTAATGCACAAATCCTTTGTTTCAAGCCGGAACCAGCTCCTCTCTGACCGAATCTTAGCCCTGTCGTTCGAATGCGCTCCTTGTCGTGCACGACTCATGACAATCATTAGCTGAAGCCGAGCCGATGCTCGCTTGATACGGTAGTGTCGCTAGCGTGCGGCGTTCACGTGTGCGAATGAAGTAAAGCTTCTTCCTCAGCTAGAGTATTCTCGGGAAAGTTCGAGGACTCGCAGAAGTGCTGCTGCAGCTCGGCCATCAATTGCTGCTCCGCTTTCGCGTGGGCGTCGTACACTGGTGCTGGCGTCTTGGTTCGAAGCACGGCTTCCGACAACAACGTGTCCTCCATCGGTGAAAACTCGGGAAAAGCTGATGCCGCCGAGAAGTGGCTGGCCGCGAGCTCTTCGAGCGTCCCGCTGAGGTTCAGGTCCGCCTGAGCAGCGGCATTGTTCAGGCTCGTGAGCGGCGCCTTTGAGGACAGTAGAGCCACGAAAAGCGGTCTGGATGTAACGATACTGCGGGTGACAAGCTGATGCTGGTGAGTTAGCGAGCGAGAAACGATGCGAAACATGTCGACTTGACTGGAAAGGCGGTGGTCAAATTGGTAATGACAGCAAGCGCGAAGGGAAGCCACGTTGAAGTTGTGTCGTGTGGCTGTGTCGCAATTGGGCCGGAGCCGCTGATCCAACGGCTCTGCTCGAATTTATTTCCCTGAGAGGGGGGATCGAGCACTTGCGACGGTGCATGTCGCTGTTGTACGAGCGAGAAAACAGCTGCATCTGCAGACGTGGTGGCACCGGCGTATCTCTCTGGTCTGTTTGGATCGCTCGACACCGCCTGATACGAAAGATACCACCACGGCCATGCTGACCACTCCCCATCACCATCATCACCATCTTCTTCTTCTACGTCCACTTCTTCTACTTTTCTGCATAAAATCGCACGGGTTTGATGTGTTTCGTATGGATGTAGTCGCACGACTGCAGTGGATCTCCTCTCATGAAGTAGTAGAAGTAAGACCAACGGTGGACAAAAACGACATGTTTCTTCGAGAACCACAGCGTTCATTTCGCAACAACTCGTCTCGCAGCAAGAGGCAGCCATCAATTTATTCTTGGTCTTTCTCGTTCATCTGACAACCACAAAAGGGTCTGCGGATGCACAAGAAACCGTGCTTCAGCTTCCAACGCGGTGGAACATGTCGTTTCGGAGATTCGTGTCGGTATGCCCACGTGCAGTCGCCTGACGACGCCACGCACGCGTCGGTACGTCGAGAAGCGATCAACCCATCCTTCGATCGGCGCCAAAAAGCTGACACGAGTTCAGAGCCTGTTGCCCTGGCGCCGCCTTTCTCGCTTTCGGCTTTCAAAGCTCAGTTAGCCGAGAAATTGGCTTCCAGTACGTTCTTTTCCGGTCATTCCGATACATTGGTGTGTTTCTGGCCCGGCGCGAGTCGGTTGGAAGTACTCTGGAAAGGGTTTTTGATGCCTCGTAGCGCCAGCGACTCGTGGCCCATGAACAGTCAAACGCAGGCACTGAACTTTATCAACTCGGGACTGTATGCGCTAACGAACGACAGGATCGCTCCGCAGTTTGTGAGGGAGTTTGGCAAGACCGAGGGTCGAGGTGTGCAAGTGATTCAAGATCTGCTTGATCTCACGTACTCGAACGATGCTGGTCGACGTCGCGATGTCGTGTCTTTTCAACGAGGATTAGTTCCCTTCGTAACCATGCTAACCATGCGACGCATGGAAATGGTCAGTCAGCACATGCGTGAAGCCAATCACGTGTACGCCTTTGTGCGAACGGCTCACGTGCAGCTCTTTGATCTCTATCTGGATCATCTCGAGCACATGGTGGAGCGCCATAGTATTGACGATAATGTGATGTCGCATGAGACTTTCCTCGAAGAGTCAGATGGTCAACGATACGCACCACTGTGTTTCACACAAGTGTGTCTCCCGCTCATCCGTCTGCTGTATCTCTTGGGCAGCAAGTTCAAAGACTTTATGTATGAAGATGCTTTTCAAGAGACGGTCGAGTGCGTCGATGCGCTCACCACCACGTGGAAAGAGAACAGTCAACGTGGCGACGCTGCGCTCGACTCGATGTTGTGCTTTAAGGTGATGAAAGAGGAAGTTGCACGACTGCACAAGATGATTCGACGCGGTGAACGTGACATGCTCGCGGGCGCAGCGTATGCAGAGACAGAGCAAACGAATTATGGACCAGAGCCTGGACCATGGGACGTGCTCGATGCCGGCGAGCCCGGGGAAGCTGTGTTGGCAGACGGAAGCGTCGGGCCACGACACGATAATGACCATCGTGACTTTCGTGACATTCAACTACTACCGACGACAGAGGAATGCCTGACACGTGAGCCACCGCTACTGCCTGGGAACTTTCCATTTCACGAAAATGCTCATTGGTTGCCTCCTGGGCCAGAACGCTGGGTGGACACGCACTTTCGACTGTATCGAGAAGACTTTTGCGGTACGATCCGGTCGAGCTTACAGGACCTTTATCATCGGCTGGCTGCGGATGGCGGACACCTTGTTGCCGGTCGTCTAAGAGGCGCTGACGTGGATTACAACGTGTACCCGATCACTGGAACTGCAATGCCATTGAAGCATACGGACAGTCGCGGTGAGCGCGACAGTAGTTGCCGCATTGAGCGCCATGGACTTTGCATCGACGTTCAGTTTCAGCAACTATCCGCTGCAAAGCTGACTGGCCGAACGAGGCTGCCGCGGAAAGCTGCGAACGATGATGCGACGAGCCGACGAGAGCTCTGGGAGAAGACGGGTCGACTGCCATACAAAGGGATGGTCGCACTCGTCACATATACCAATGGTGACATGCAAGTCATTTTTTGCCAAATTGTCGAGCGTGTCGTGGAGAAGCTCGTCCAGGATGTGGTGGAGATCACTTTGCAGCCATTTGAAGCCCAAGACTTTGCAACTCTCGAGCAATGGCGGCACCTCGCATTGTCTGGACACGATCGAAGGCTTGGACGCTCGAACATGCTGCTACTGGAGTTCAACAACATTTTCTTGGCGGCGTACGAACCGGTCCTTCGTACGCTGCAAAGCCTACAGCCCGCTACCTTGCCTTTCCTGGAATACCTAGCTCCTGAAGCCCCACCAACGCCGGGTGAAACTCAAATGGAATCTCCCATGTACTGCTTGAAAGACGGCTTTGCGTTTGACCTCAGCTCGGTGTTGAAAACGCACCCGCGTGCACTGAATGGCGGTGCTCCGCAACAACTTCGTCTGCAACCCCTTCAACGTAATTCTCGCGACGCGTGTGAGAATGCACTAGTTCGCTACTCGACGTTGGAGCGTGACCAGGCAAAAGCGTTGGTGGAAGCGCTGAGCAGCCGTGTAGCGTGCATTCAAGGACTTCCAGGTAGTGGCAAGTCGTTTATCGGGGCGATGCTTACACGCATCATATTGCAGGCGAAAGTGGCGCCCATACTGATCGTGTGCTTTACAAATCACGCGCTCGACCAGTTTTTGTGTCACCTGTTGGATGTTGGCATCACGAGTCTCGTGCGTATTGGAGGACAATGCAAAGAGCCTCGTCTGGAAAAGTACAATCTCAGGAAGATGCCCAAATCGTTCCAGCGCTACGAGCTCAAGCTGCTCTACGGCGAGCTGGACGAAAAGGCAGACGCCATTGCTCTGAAGCTAAAAGAGCTGAACACTGACGCTCGTCGCCCGACGTGGAAATCCCTCCGACCATTTTTGGAAACCAGGTATCCAGATGCTTATGATTACATTGTTGAGCGCAGCAACGAATTGTTTGACGATGACTGGAGTATTGCCGGGTGCAGCGACATACTGGACTATTGGATTCAGGGGATGGACATTGTTGCTCTGCACCGTCGTGACCAGAGGCGGCAAGGTGTGAATGACCGGACGCAGAATTTGTGGCGGTGGAGTCTGCCAAAGCGCCAAGCTGCTTTGACGGAGTGGGTCAGTGCGATGCGTAGCGAACGTGTCGAAGAGCTCATTGAAGCGCAAACGGCCTATCAAGAGACGTTGACGAAGATTGAGACTGTACGGGATCAAGCAGATGTCAACACGCTCATGCGTGTTCAGATTATTGGAATGACGACCACCGGCGTGGCGCAAAACCAGCGGAAGATCGCGGCAGTAGAACCGCTAGTGGTTATTTGCGAAGAGGCTGGCGAAGTGCTTGAGGCACAGCTCATGGCGTGTCTATCTCCGGCTTGCCAACAGTTCGTGCTTATTGGTGACCATAAACAGCTACGCCCGCACATTTCCGAATACAAGCTGAGTGTCGAAAGTGCTGAAGGGGAACGGTACGCACTAGACGTCTCGCTGTTTGAGCGTTTGGTCGCTCCGTCCTCGGGTCTGCCCTTTTGGATGCTCACCGAGCAACACCGCATGCGTCCACAAATTTCTCAGCTCATACGTATGCTCTTTTACCCAAAAGTGCGCGATGCACAGGAGACGCTGGAGTACCCACCTCTTCTCGGTCTGAACAAGAACGTGTTTTTCGTGACGCACGATCATCCCGAAGGGGATACGGCTGCTGCGGTAGGCATGCCGTCTCGTTCACATACTAATGAGTACGAAGTGGCGTACGTTGTTGCAACTCTCGCCTACCTCTTGCAGCAGGGATATCGCACGAGTGATATCGCCATTGTCACTCCTTACGTTGGCCAGCTCATCAAGTTGCGCTCTGCGCTTCGAGGAAAGTTTATCCTCGAGCTGAACGAGCTTGATCTAGACGAGATCCAGCGTACGTCCGACGACGGTAATGATGACAGCGAAGACGACGACATGGACGAAGGTGCTCGAGGGGAAAGCTCTACTTCGTTAGGGGTCATCAAGAAAGAGTTGTCAGGTGCGATTCGTGCAGCAACGATTGATAATTTCCAAGGCGAGGAAGCAACAATCATCTTGGCAAGCCTCGTTCGAAGCAGCAACACCACCACGCACGGCCGTGGGTCCATTGGGTTCCTCAAGACGCCGAACCGAATCAACGTGCTGCTGTCTCGAGCGAAACATGGGTTGATCTTGGTCGGCCACGGCGACTTGTTGCGTGCAAAATCGCCGCTGTGGCGCCAAGTGATCGATCAGCTGCAAACTGACGACTGCTATGGTAGCGGGCTACCTCTGCAATGCCAACGTCACCCAGGCGACTTGCGCAACGCTACGAGTCCAGGCTCATTTGCTGAGCTTGCACCCGATGGAGGTTGTCTCCGTCCGTGTGGATATCGACTTCCGAAGTGCGGACACGCGTGCCCGAAGTGCTGCCATGTGGATCAGCCGTCTCATGCGGCCGTCTACTGTACGCAGCCTTGTCCACGACTCCAACCTGGCTGTGAGCATGTGTGCCCTGGGATTTGTGGGGATCCGTGTGGTCGCTGCGACGTTCTTGTCGGGTCGATAACGCTACCTTGTGGTCATACGTATGCCAACGCGCGGTGTTTCGAGGTCAAGAAGGCGGCAAAGCTGAAGTGTAAAAAAATGGTCGACAAGATTGTTCTTGATTGTGGACATGTTCAGCGTGTTGCTTGTAGCGCCATGAACGTCAAGTGCACGCGGTTGTGTGGTGCCGTGCTTTCCTGCGGTCACGCTTGTTCTCGTAAGTGTAGTGATTGTATTGCAAAGACGCTGATGAATCGCGAGGACAATGCAGAACCGGATTACCCGATCGTTGCGACCGAACACGGCGGGTGTCAAAAAGAGTGTGAGCGGATGCTACCTTGTCGGCATCGATGCCGCGGTGTATGCCACGGAAACTCGCCATGCCCTCCGTGTCAGTGCGTCTGTGACGTCTTCAAATGCGAGCATGGCTCTTGCAATCACCCATGTAGCGATCCGTGCACTGCCTGCACGGAATCGTGCACCTGGAGCTGTGAGCACCGCGGAACGTGTGATCTGCCTTGCGGTGCTCCTTGCAATCGTCGGTTGTGCGATCAACGATGCACGCGATTGCTCGAGTGTGGTCACCAGTGTCCAAGTGTATGCGGCGAAGACTGCCCCACGTCAAAGTTTTGCCACGTCTGCGGCGATGACAACGTCAAGCAGCGCGTCGCTGATGTGATTATGTTCCGGACGTATGCTGAAGTTGATCCGTGTGAGGACCCGATCTTGGTACTTTCGTGCTGCTCGATGGTCTACACAATGGAAACGCTGGATGGCACGCTCCACATGAGCGCGTTCTACGATACCAATGGGAACCCGCGTGGTCCCTTGCCTGGAGGATACATGGACATGCCTCAATGTCCGAATTGCAGCAAACCGATTCGTACCCTCCGTCGGTATGGACGCGTGATCAAGCGCGCGGCCATTGACGCCGCAGACAAGAACTTCATTTCTCACGCACAGCGTCAACTGATCCGTTTGCAAGAGCGGACGAATGCTGCTATTGAACGTGGTGATGTCGCGCAAGACAAGACGTTGCGGCACGACCTTCGTTCGTTTGGCGTTACGGTGAAGCGACCACCGTGCCAGAAAGTGTTTGAGGCTTGCGTCGCGCTGGTGACGAAATGTATGGGTGGCCAAGGAGGAGGGGACGTCGACATTGACTTGAGTACTCTACCAGTACCCAACTCGTCGTTCCAGTATCTGGGATACTTTTATATGCTTTCTGCGCAGCTTTCGATGGTGGGGCATACCGCATCGACGAGAGCTCGAGCGGAGCAATTTGCTCGTCAAGCGGTGGACCTGTTCGCCGACGGATCGTTCGAACTATATGCACGCGAAGCTCGGTTGCTGCTAGCACAGATCCTGCTCGCAAGTGCCGAAGCCAAGTTGAACAAGAAAGTAGAGGCGCGAAAAGAGCGTGACGAGCGCAAGAAAGCAGTGGTGGACTCTGCTTCGGAAGCTCATGCATTGCTGGACGGTCTGACAGTGTCAGCAGGTGCATCCTTTTCGTCCAAACACGGGAACGACGTTCAGCTGCTCAAAGAGAGAGCGAAGAGCATTGTCCAACGAGCATCGAATGAGACGTATTATCAGAGCGTGTCTATGGAAGAGATGAAATCGATCAAGCTCGCGATGCAGACGGAGTTCCGAGGCTCGGGTCACTGGTACCGCTGCATCAACGGCCACTCGTACTCGATTGGCGAGTGTGGGATGGCGATGGAGCAAACGAGCTGTCCAGAATGTGGCGCACCTGTCGGCGGTGCCAACCATACATTTGTGGAAGGGACCGAGCGTGATAACGAGATGGAGCAGATACGCTGATACCGGTCGAGGAGGTTCCCCTCGCAAACATGCCGGTTGACAAAGAGATGCAAACGACGTGGCGAGTCGGCGGTCGCATATTCATGCGTAACGTTGCAGCCACTTGGTTGACGAGGGGCATAAAGCAAACCAGACGCAGCGTATCGCCACATTTTGCAACAGACAGCTCGGTACTATCGACGAAAGATAAAGGTCTCTTGAATATGGTAAACTGCATCGCTCGTTAACTTTGTTCAACTAACTATTCCAGGCGTGCTATCGTTCACAAGTGCGTTGTAGAGCTTTCAGTGTAGGATGCGTCATGTCTTGCGTTCAGCCGTATCGATCTGCACGCAGTAGATGGTTTCCGCGGCACACCTTGTGTAGCAACAACGTTAGCTCATCTTTGCAGTGCGCGGAAGCGATAGAACAAGAGGATTTTGCCCATTTAGTTGATAGATAGGAACACCACTCTAGTGAATCTTTGACGCGTCAAAAGCTTTGACGGCGATCCTATCAGTTGCCATCTACTCGCAGTCCATTTGTAAGAGAGTAGAAAGTCCACATGTTGTGCACTGAGGGCACGTAAACGATAGAATGGATATGTTTAGATGTGCTGCTTAGTGAAAAGCAAGAGCTGGTTGCTTGTGTTGCGTGTGACCGTGTAGTTCGTTTGCGTAGCTGGCAAAGCGTGTGCGCGCGGTGGTATGCAGTACATTTAGATGGGTAGATGTGGCTCTTTCACAGTTGCCGAACGCGCCACATACATCCCTAATGATTGATTGAGCTTCATTGAGCTTCATTGAGATACTTCACAGATCTCTAATGGCGATGTTGGGGGCTTACACCGCCAAATCTCTAGTAAAAGAGACATTCGTGGTACCGGCTTGACAAATCGGGCTGTCGGCCGTACCGTGACACTGGATAGGATCAGAGATCCCCAAAGCTGCTGACACAGCCAGTAGTCTCTCGGATGCTACTGCCAAGGCAACAACACCGAAAAGGAGGAATTCCCCTTCCTCGACGTGGAGTGCGATCACCGAAGCGACTGCAAGGCGTGGGGAACGCCAACCCGCCGTAATACATCATCTAGGAGCGCATCCATCCGCAATGGTGGCTCCCATCGGCCGCTTGCGCGGCCCCTCGACGTGGAGTGTGCGCCCGATGCAGCGGCAAGACGGGGCGCGGGGTACGCCTCCAGTCCGTAAAACACCCCTGCTAGGCCGCTTGCGCGACCCGTCGGTCCCCTGCGCACACACCCGAGACAGCGAGTGCAGCGTGCCCGTGTCAGAACTTCGACCCTGTCGGCTCTTCTAGGGGAGAATTCCCTCCGACGTGGCCGCCCCCGAAGGGGGAAAAGGACTGGTCTGAGCTGAACCGTAAAAATTTGGGAATCCATACATCCCTAACGAAAGCACACGACGAGAAGCGATGTCCGATGCATGTCTGGGACTAACTCCTTGTAATGTGGTGCTTATTGAGCGACGTCGCCTCCTACGGCTAGGAGAAGAGAAAGCACCGGTAGGGAAATCCAAGCGACGACCGCTGCTGGCGACAATACACAGCCTGGCAACAGCATAAGCTGCTGCTTAGGAAGCGGTGCATCTACGCATGTCCATGCAAAAGTACTGGAAAGTTGCTGCATGGCGCACAAAATCTGCGCTGCAAAGCATGCGGGTGTTCTGCTGTCTGTAAAACGACATAGACTAGCGCGATTCGATCAGGAGATGCACGTGGCACATGTCGACAAGAAGATCTTTGCGGTTGCTTCGACACGATAAAAATAATGTGCTGGATCAGATTCTTTACACGGTCATTTGCACGATCTGCGCCAAAAAAAGGAGATCATGTCACGCCGGTATCGTGGCGGCGGTACTGTATTCGTGTTGGTAGCTCGTCAGTGCCAGAGAGATGTTTGAGGTTGATTCGTCATGAGTTAGCAGAACGCAAAAAGTCACATGGTGACTGACACATGAGGATCGCGACTTTCCGCCATTCTCGCGCCTGGAGCACCGGCGGAGTTCGACATGTATCACAATAGTGGCGTTTGTCCATGAGTCCAATATTGCATCTTGATATCTATACGGACGAAGATATAAAACAATTACTTGGGCATATCACTCAATAGTTTTAGGTGATAGAAAGATGCAGAGCAGCAGCTCACTTCCCTGACTTCTATACGATGACAACTTGTAGGGAAGTCGCCAGGAAATGTCTATGCTTCAGATAGGCAGTGCCGATATCGTCGTGACGATGAAAAGAGCTTGAACTGAATCCCGCGGTGGCGATACGAAGGATAGTCAAGTTGTAAATATGCTGCCTGCTTGTGCATAACTGGGCAGTAGGAAGGCGCACTGCAGCTGCATGGATGTCTATCTACGCGAGCTGCAAGTTTATTTGAAAGGAGATCAAAAGCACTTGCCAGTTGGGAAGAGCAATCTCATGAAGCTGGTCTTGAATCTTCTTTCTGTCCCATCGAGCACAAACCGTCACCAGCACTTATGTACGAGCGGAAAGGTAGTGTACGCTCACGACATGATTGCACAGCGCATGACGCCTTTCAGTCCAGCGCCGCAAATGACATGCCGAGAGTTCGAAATGCCTTACAGTCTCGCACGTGTACACTATGTGGCTTCGCTACTACAGCGGCCTCATAGTTAATGAAAAGTCTCCAAGGCAGTATCTGTCATTCACCAGGCATAATCGCACCTGAAGCTACACATCTCGGCTTCGAGTGTCTCCGAGGTCCTCGCTCAGTATTTGTGCATAGCACATCTAAGCTCCAGGAACACACTTTCTACCACAATTGATTTCCTTCCGACTAATCTAGGTTTGCGTTCGAATCCAAGACCCTTCAACATCTACTTTTCACACCCTCGTTGACCACTAAGTAGACAATGGTGGTGGGGCGCAACGATGATGAAGATATTCGTCTTAGTGCAGTTGTGGCAGACGTATGGAGCTGTGTGATACGCCGAGACATTCTGTGCTCTACATTTGCTGACGAACGAACAGCAGGGTCTTTGGTAGGTCTTGAACACATGCCGTCTTGGTGTTTGTTGAGGTGCTACAAGCGGTCGGATGTCGATTGCAGTCGTTGTAATTGACGGCAGACAAGGAATGCAAATCCTCTAGCAGCATACGGCACTAACTCGGAAGATCCGATTCCGCACGTTGATCTCGGAAATCTCGAACGTGTTGTGGTCGACCGCAAAAGCTTGACACGTACCGTTGCTCCTTTACCGTTTGCGCGTCTCGAAGAGGCTACGATGGCGCACAAAGTGGCGACGCCGTTGGGTCGGCTACTTGGTACAAAATGGGTGTACTCGGTGGGTGTACTGAGTGTATATTGCAATTTTGGGAGTGTGCGCACACTGTCGCCTTCGAATCGAGGGACACGAGCACATAGTTAACATTAACATGACAACGTTCTAGTAGTAGACTTGTTGCAACGGGACACGAAACCATGCAAAGGCAGCTTCTTACCGACTTCAACGCTGGCCGTGACGACACATTTGGCACCGACATTCACGCATCATCCGCTAAGGCTTCTCCAGATCAGCCTGAGCCCGCAAAAAGTCGACAAACTCCATTCCTGTGGCCAAGAACTCGCGGGCGAAGGCTGGAAGCAAGCGGCGCTCTGGCGTCAATGGGGGTAGCAGAAACTCCGCTTCAACCTTATCACGAACGCTCATGAAGCCTTCTTCGGGGTTCCGATCGGGAATGCCGAACTCGCGGATATGCATCAATGACAGTTGGGTTTGAGTCGCCGAATTGAAGTACATCGTACCGCGTACGCGCCGCACCGTTCCAATACATGCTGGGGACTCTCCAGCGTCCAACAAGTGACGGCTGATACGCACCTTATCACGCGTGTCGTCGCAAAACTCAATGACACCGCGACCATCGGGCGCTTTCTTGCAGCAGTCCTCCAGTTTGACGTACAAGCTATCGGTCTTAGGCAGGTTCGCCGTAGTTGACACGTAGAAGCGAATGTCTGGCGTCATGTCCATCGTGTGGGTCTCCTCGTCCATTTCTTGTCGCATCTTCAGTGTTGTGCTAAACCACCGGGACGGGCGTGTAGATATTTTTTCCAATTGCAACTCACTCGTCAGTCTGACGTTGTACTCAAACGACTCATGTACGATTGACACCTGATATGATTCGGACTCCTTGATCAATGTCATTCCAAGACGTTTCTCCGCGTATATCTTTGTCCATGAGGTGTGTTGAGACGCGATCATCGAGTAGAAAGAATGAGTAACGCCTTTGTCACCAAGGGCAACGCTGTGAGCCCTCTGCAACTTCATCGGCGGTCGTCGTGGCCGTCTTCCACCTCCACCGCCCCCACCGCCTCCACCGCCGCTGCCATCATAGCCAGACATATCCTCTTCCGTACGGTTATTCTGACCTCCCCATCCCTCCTGCTCATCGTCGGAGTAGCTTCCCCAGTCGCCTTCCTCGCTTTGGCCTTCTGCATCGGATTGGACGTCTTGATTTAGATTCTCGACTGCGGCCTGTGCCCGTTGCTTTTGCTTTGCTATCAGGACGGAATCGTACAGTTCCCGTGCAGAGCGACCTCGCTCAAACTCGTCCTCTAGTTTCTTGATGCTGGCCAGCATAATTGATTCATCGTCGAATGAACGTGGGAGATTAATCAAGTAGTGGTGTCCAAAACGAACAAAGGCTTTGGCACTTGTAGCACCTGGATTCAAATGTTCAAATCTGGACAACTTTATCATTTGCTGGATGAATCTGGCACAAAATGTTGCCCCTGCATGCTCGTACCACTGGCGTCCATTCATAAAGCATATCAGGTGCGCTTGGTGCAGATGGGTGTTGCCGTGTTCACTGTGACGCTTACCAAAATAATCCTGGAAGCCAATTTTCTCTTGTTGAGACGCAGCACCCTCGAAAAGCACTAAACTTGAGCCTTCGTGATGGAAATTTTGATTCGAACGAAAAGGCATGCGTGCACCAAGCTCTTGCTCAATCATACGTATGTGCTCTTCGATTCGCAGGATTACGTCGCCGGGTCCAACGATCTCTGCTACGTACAAATCGGAACGCAGGATATTTGGATGAAACTTGAACGTCAGACGCGTGGAGCTGTCTGCTTTTGTTTCGAACAAAATCTTTCGAGAAAAAAGTCCTTGGCCTCGTGGATACGTGTGCTGAGCGCGTGACTGAGCGTGATTCGACTTGTCTGCTCCTCGCGGTGCGTCAGCAGATACTTGATGTCACCTTGTGCGATCACCAACTGATGAAGTGCGATGTGGCACTCCGACCGAAACAACGAGATTGCTTCTGGATCCAACTCCGTGTTGTTCTCTTCATCCAGTGGGTCTGTAAACGCATAGTCACAAGTCGGAGTGGACAATTTCGCGTAAAAGTCGAAGAATGCAAGGAGAACATCAGCTGCTGAAAGTGCGGATGTGTCATTCGTTCCTGAGACTAAGCCAGTAAGCAATTCAGTCCAGAACGTAATTTCCGAATCGATGTCGTTGTCCTTCAAGATCTCTTTCACGGTAATGGGCCCAATACTGATCGGCTGGACGAAATTCTGTTCGGTGCAGAACCGCAAAAACAGCCAAATAAAGCCTGTGGGCGAAAACATGTTCAAGCCTCCACCTGAGCGTCGTCGAATGAGCCCGACACATTTCCCCCATCGTACCAAAAAGTAAACACACGGCCAAAAAAAGTTGTACCTCTCCATGTACGTGCGGAACAAGCGAGTTTTCACAGGCCCATTCGAAAGCTTGCACATCTCGACGGACCATTGCTGAAAAGAAAACGATAGAAGAGGAACGCGAATATCATCTTTGAGAACAATGTTGTCGTGCGAGCCCTCTAAAGCCTGAGCAATGGCCTGCAACGAGCCACGATTGGATGAACAGCAAACCATCACATCCAAATCAGACTGTTTCTCAAACGTGAGCAGTCCAGAGGAACCGAACAGGATGAGATCTAGCTCTTTTTTCTGCACGTTGCTAGGCATCTCAGAGCGCAACGAAGACACTGCAACCAGTCGATCAAATAAGTCCGCCAGCAGCTCTTCAGTGTTCGTCGCGATTTCGGCCAAAATGCACAATTGCAACTTCGGAATCGTTTTGGCGTATATGGACAAACGAACTGGAGTCCACAGCTTGAAATGTGTGTTGCCAGTATTGCTCGTTTTGACTGTCACTAGTAGATCGATCACGATCCACGGAAAACTCAAACAGCGCGACAATGCGTCAGAATCGTCATGAGCAACGAAGTAGCATGCGGCAGCGAATTTGAGCTCTTCGCCCTTTTCGAAGGTGGAGATGTCGTGATCAAACTGGGCTCGGAATGAAGCTTGTAGAGCGTAAAATGCATCCTTGCACTGTTCTCCATAGCGGAAATAGTCGGCTTTGTACTCACTTCGCGGCTCCACGATCATGCCGGTAGCGAGCTCTGCCTCGGTTTGCGCTCCTGACATGAGCAATAGAGCATGGACACGTAACTTGTACTGGCGGTAGAGGACTCTCGCCTGAGCGAGATAGTCCATGTAGCCCGTTGTGAGAAAGTGATCGTCACGCAACGGCATTTGGCTAGCACCCGTCGTCGTTGTGCTGTCGAAAATGGCCTTACAACGGCGATACATCTTGCCCAGAATTTTCCTCGACGGGTACGAGGGCTTTTCCTTATTTTGCATAAAGTCCGGATAGCTTGTTGGTGCAAGCTCCCGCACAATTTCCAGGTCTTTCTCAGCACGAAGACTGTCGACTTGCTTTGAGCAAACACGTGCCAATATCTTCGCGTTTTCGTCAAAGCTTCCTTCATCAACCGAGTCGCACAGCGCGAGATGGGCATTCGAGGCGACTCCAAGAATATCATCCTGGATCGAGTGAACGTAAAAGTCGACCAGCCCGTCATCGTCCGTCGACTGGTGATATCGATCGCCCCGGGGACTCGTGTCTCCTCCGTTATCTTCGTCGAAGGTCATGGGCTCGTGAATTTTGGTTCGACACGGAATCAACCGCTCGTCCCATATTACGACAAATGTGTCTCCATCCAAATCCCCGCCTGTGCATTCGTCAGGATGCGGTCGTGGCCCTTCGCACGGAAACACAATGCAGTCTTTGAGCTGGCGCAGTTGTGGAGGCACGTCTGTCCTGCAATAAAGGACACGAATATCGCCGGGGTGGTGGCAAGGGCTTCGATGAACAACAACGTCGACACCATCCAGAGCCACATAATTATCCGCTCCTGTTTCGTCGTCAGTCACCGAATACTGCACGAAAACTTCTCCATATTTCAGCGTCCCGGTGAAGTCCGCCACGCCCATCAATGTGCGTCCCTCTGCGATTGGAATTCTGGCACGCATGACCGTGTTTGCCAACCGATAATGGTAGATTGTTCTTGCCAGCGAAGAAAGAAATTCGTCAGCCAGAACCTTCACCCCAAGTCTACGGACAAGAACGTCGATTTGCCATATAATTGATGATGGCAGCACAGCCTTCAACTCAAAGTATGCGCCCTCGTCGGAAGCGATGAGCGAGCTGAGGTCGCTCAAAAACTCATCTTGCAGCTCCATGAACACGTCTTCGCTTATTCCGAGATCGTTCAGGATCAGCACACTCTGGCGGGTCAAGTTCGCCTCTGATTTACCGGAGCATGCGACAATTTCGAGCATGGTGTGGAAGGATGTGAATTTCGACATGCTTTCACGAAGCACAATGCATTCACCTTGGTCGGGGTTTGCTTTGCCGAGGTCGGATACCACCAAAACCCCTTTGGCACCTCCAAGACGAATTTGGAAAGCTGAAGGTGTACAGGACAAACGGAGCTCCTTCACAATGTTTTCCGCCCCAAGCAGAGTGATCTCGCCGCACCCATCCGTGAATATGTGCTTGTCATTCTTGATATCATCTATTGGATTATCAAGTACACTCTGATTGACGCTAAACGCCTCTTTCGTGGATGAGAAGGCTTGGCCGAGACGCTTCAAATACTTTGCCGGCGACTTCAAAGATGAGAGGTCTCCAATCCATGACCTGATTTCGTGGTGATCCAACAAAGTGAAGATCGCACTGCTGTTGCGCACTTGACTTAGTGAGCATCCGAGGAATCGAAACTTTACAGCTTTCATGTGTGGAATCTCAATCCCGTTTTTCAAGACATTCCGAATGCGTTTTACAATCATCACAGATGTGTAGTCCATCCGCTCCATGTTGTCATCGCGGAAATACACGTACATGAAATTCTCCGCCCCCCAATGACGGAACACACGATTGCTTGGAGCTGGCTCCGGGTGGCAATATACGATGCGTGAAGGCGTTACGATCACTTTGTAAACCACAGGGCCTGGCTGCAACGATAAGCTGGTACAGAGTCCTACTAGCACAGCGCGCTCGTTTTGGAGAAAACGCAAAAACTGGTCAGTTATACTGATACGACTCGGGCGTGGACGGAACGAAAGAAGCGCTTTTTCCTGAACGTCGTCGTCGAGATCCGTAAGAAGGTCATAAAATTCCGGAGGAAAGATTCCATTCGTAAAATAGCTGCAGTCGGAGAGAAGGCACTGCAAGGCATATGCCACGCGTAAGCTGAAGCGCAGTCTGGTCGATGCAATAGCCTTTTTCTCATTTGTCACATTTGTCACTGGGATGTTTGTTTCTCGGACCTCGACCTCGAATTTCGAAAAGTACACGCGAAGGTTCCATAGGTCGGTCTTCAAACAGTCGGATCGAGACAACGTTATGCAGTACACGAGGGAGTGCGACTGGCATCTCCTGCAGTCACGCTGATCTTCGACGTAGAACGATGGAGGAATTCGAAGAGCGAGGTACACACAAGCAACGCGCGTAGATGTGGAAGTCAGATCGAACCATACGAGCGGCTCGCAGAGTGCCCGCATGTCAAAATCCACGCGGCAATAGCCAAAATTTATCGTCAACGCATCTGCAGCCATCTCTAGTATTCCCGTATTGCCAAAACTTTCGAATTCCACGAATGCACCTGCAGGAGTGAATAACCCACGATGTAGTCCAACGTTGTCAATGTTTTCTGCAAATACTCCGCTTGCCGCACTCTCGATGTCATCACTTTCAAAACGCATCCAGAAAGATTGTTGCTCAATCAAGAAATTTACACCGGAGCTCAGCGTATTGTACGAGGAGTAGATGTCTTGGTCTGGAGGGGCCGCTAGCGTGCACAAACCAATGCGCTCATCCACTATTCGAACGGAGGCGAAGTCACTGACCCGTTCCAGAATGCACATTTGCAATCGCTTGTCGGCATCGATAAAAGCACCACCCAAAACGATGTTATATACTTTTTCAGCCACCGCATCGAATGTTGCTCGTTCTGGTAATTTTGTCGATCCTTCTTCCTGTGCAAGGTCCAACGTATCAGCTTCTTTCTCTTGGTAACAGTCCATCAACTTGGCTACAATGGCCTTGGACTCTAACCTCGACGCATCCGCTTTTGCCATCAAAACCAGCCTTTTCTCATTTTCAACTAGTTTCTGATTGCGTTCGATTCCGACCGCTGAGCAGAAGATAACAAACGTGCTATTCTTATGACGTGCTCGACCCCGACTTTGGATGAGACTCGTAATTCCAATGACTCCGTCGAATTGGATCACCAGTGAACATTCAGGCACGTCAAGGCCTTCCTCGAGCACATTGGTTGCTACCAAAAGCCGGATGCGTCCCTGTCTAAAGCGGTCCAACGTTGGTCGTTGCTCCTCTTCCCACGACATGCCTTCATACGAATTGTGTCCGACGAAGCGTGTAGGATTGAGCTCACGCAGCACGTCCAAGGCTTCCATTGCTTTTGCCAGCAAAATAGCGGTTTTCCGGCGCCGAACGAATACGATTGCGCGGGAGCTGTGGTCGAATTCGGCTTTCACGATACACTTTGCAACAAGATGCACGCGATTTGAAATGTCAGCTCCCGTGAATGTATCCAATGGAAAGTGGGTCAATGCGGGGCTCATCGTAGCGCAGTACGCTTGTTCGATCAGCGCGAAAGTTCGTCTTCCCTTCTTGGAATCTGCACCTTGCAATTCAGCGAATATCCTGCGCAATCGTTCAGCAACAGTGGCCGCACCATGAATACTCAAGGTATAGAAGCTTGACGCGACTTTTTGCAGGTGTTTCAAAATTAGTTCCAAGTCAGACCGTGGGCGTGTACTTGTTTCGAACCCCGGCGTCTCACTACAAGCGCTGTTTTCCAGTGCGTACTGTTCCCGTGCCTTCTTTTCTGCTTGCGTTCGTAATAGTCGAAGCTTGGCAAGAAATTGCGACAATTCCATGTCGTTGGTGTCGTAGTTGGACTCGAAAGGCATCACTTGCCCGTTTGCCAGTCTGGTAATTTGCAGATAGAATGACACGACATAGTGCTTAATGCCTTCACGGAGCTTTCGCTCGGAGTCACCTTCCTCCACAGTGACCCATTGCGCTTCTTTCGGAATAAAGCTCGATTCCAAATCTTCCGCTGCAATCGTGGGAAAGTTTATGGCGGCATTGAACGCCTTTACAAGCTTTCTCAACGCGACTTGCCCAGACGTATCACGCACTGCTTCGCCAAATGGCGAGGCTGTGAGAGCAAGAACATGCGGCCGAAACCGGAGGTCCACCGTTGCCAGTACTTTCAGAAGCTCGCAATACGGGTGGTTTCCAGTAGCATGGTGCGCTTCGTCGAACACCATCATACTATAATCCGTGATCTTCGTGCGCCCGTTGAACAGCAAATTTAAAAAGTACTGAGGCGTTGCTACCACTGCATCCACAACATCATCAGCTTTGATAAAAGCGCTCATTGCGGCTGCTGTATGCCCATGCTGCCCTGAAAACTCCTTGACTGTGAAATTCGACTCACGCCGGGTATACGCCGCTTGCTGCGACACTAGAGGCCCTGTTGGTACAAAAAAGACCACCAACTTGTGCGGGTTCAAGCGCTTCATCTCTTCCATCACTTTGATCGCCACCAGAGTCTTGCCACATCCAGTAGGCAGATACACAATGGTGTTCTCAAGCAAAGCCGAGAGCGTCAGCTCCACTTGGTACCGCCGCAGCTTCGACATTTTTGCTTTTGGCGTGAATTGGCTCCGAATAGACGCTTCCGTGTGCCGAATCACCGGTAGCACGTCAGCCTTTTGCACCTTGTCGCCCGTTCCGACCTGCAAAAGCTCCTGAAGGCGTAGAATCTTCAACGGCAGATGCATCTCTTGCAGCTGTCGCAAAATCACCCCCCACTTTCTCGCCTTGTTTCCCCCTGCCATGCCGTACGGCAAGCATTGGTCCAGCACACAGGTACATGCTCTCGAGTCCAGCAACAGCATCGACTCTTTCGGTAGTTCGTCCAAGAACCCCTCCGACGCCACTTTTGCGTTGCACGTCAAGCAACACAACTCATACGGCAACCGCTCGCGCTTGAACGCGTTCGTCGTGCGGATCTTCGTGAACTCGAGTGGCGGCGACACGCCCTTCTGACTGTACACTCTCCAGCTGCCGTCGGCTTCTTGTGGCTGGGCTTCGAGCTGCCCGTCGCACAGCAGCGTCTTGTCCAGCGTGAGGTGCACGGCCGTGGCGTTCTCGAGGACGAACGACAGCTGCGAGTGGCGGGCCACGAGGCGGTCGCAGCCTTTGCACGCAATGCCCCACGCGCCATCCACTACGACAGTCATCGCAGTCATTGGTGACTTGTCGCGCGGATCTGAGAGTGAGCGAGCAGCGGGAGGGCCAAATTCGGGCCTTCGTCGGTTGATACCGGTACTACCGGTAGAAAAACAACGCCACGATTGGTGGTGATAGCTTCAACGTCCGTGTGACGTCACGTTTGCGTGTCAAAGCTGTTAACAAACGTAGTGACGATCCGGGGTCGGTGGCATTTTCCTGGAAAAAGCAAGAGTCGCGACTTGCAGCTGTTGTTGCGATGACCGATTGTCGAGCGAGCACAGAAGTGAGGCATGTAGTGTTAATGTAAAGAGGTAGCGTGTGCGATTCGATCCGAGAGTTGGGCTACGACAGGTTGTTGAGTAAAGAAGGAGCTCTTGACTAACCGACACGGCGAGATGCGTCTTTGAGTTGACGGCTCGCTTATAGTCAGCTCCCCTTAGTTTCTGGGCCATGCCTCGTTTAGATGATGTGTACGAGAGCGGAATGGATCGCTTTCGGCCGTGTTTGGACGAGAATGCACGAGTCGCTTACTCGTCCACCTTTAGCATCGTAGACCGAGCCACTCGTCGCTTCGGCAAATGTGTCGCGGACCGTGTCGTCGTACGCTACCTAAATGGCTTTGACGGACATACAGACGGACGACGGACGATTTCCTCCATGACAACGTAGTGCAGCCCTGCAACATCGGTTTCAGCTTCGCTAGCGCAACGACGGCGTGGACTGTCATCACATTGTTGGAAAAAGTATATTGAAGGAACTGGAAGAACACCGACTAGTAAGACCGAGGCCCTGGTCAAAGTCGAGCATGTCAGGTGAGACGAACAGGTGTGTTAACACCACTTGTTACACGAAACAAGTCATTGCATTATTTGCTGCACTCACCGTTTGCAACTGCGCCAAGACGGACTGTAGATTGAGCCTGTCGACTGCGACAGCAATGTCACGACTGTCGTTGCCTGTACGACGTCGTGTACTAAAGCGACCGACTCCTTCACAAGCTGAGGTCTGTGTAGTGGAGTCTTTGTCTTTATCGTTGCAGTCGGTGCAGTACAGGATATCCACCCCGACACAACGGACTGTGGCGAACATGCTGCGGCACAAGACTCAGCAGAACCAGTAGCACCTGCATGTCATAATGCATGATCTGGAATGCACGCAGTCTTTGGTCCCTCTACTTTACTTGTTCACGTCTCTAACAAGTTACAAGTTATATGCACAATAAAGATCCACCATGTTCCATTGTCGAGACCTTGACTGGAAGAAGGCACAGGGACAGTACACAATGCGTGAAGGTCTCCGTGTCCGACGAACCGCCCGATAAGGACGACCCGTGTCAATGCTCCATCATCTGTTTCCACTTGCAACACCGAATAACGGGATGTCACGGATAGCGCACAGTCTGCCTCTCTCTCGTTGACACGAAATCGGCGGTAAAGACAGGACGTAGAACAGTATCGCGCGTGCCATACCTCTTCTCTCTCTCTCTCTCTCTTTCCCATCTCGCACATGCTGCACACGTTTCTGTCTGCGTGTTGTGTCGGTTACTTCACACAAACCCCCACTGGACCAAACCGCGCGAGCACAAATTTGGTGCATCTCGTCGTATTTCTAACGCCAGCCCACCCGCCGCGCTGCTGTGTTTTTCCCATTTCTAAACTCACGCGCGCTTAAGTTCGCACTCGATCAAAGAGGAAGATGTTGCGCCAAGTTTTGCGGACGCCCGCGGCCCGACGCGGTCCGTCTCTGCGCGCCTTCAGTGCGCCTCCCACGAAGCCGTTCGACGCGCCAAAGCAGCCGCCGCGACCAAATGAGACGCTGCTGAGTGCTTCGAGACCCGTCGCGTCTGCTGGCGACCCGCGTGCGAGCGGCTCGTCGCTGTCGAAAAAGGTGCTCCTCGTGGGCCTTTTGTCTGCGCCAGTGGCTGTGGCGGTGTACATTTCGAAGCATCCGGAGTGGAACCCGCCGGCGCTGCGGGACAACGAGCGTTGGATCAAGTTCCGCGAGCAGGTGCTGGGGCCGGAGGGGGCAGCAGCGCCTGTGATGGAGAAGAGGCGCTTGGCGGAGGACCTGAGTGCTGTGATTACGAAGGGCCAGCGAGACGTGGAGCAGGAGAAGAGGGCGAGGGAGGAGAAGAAGGAAGCGGGGAAGAAGAAGAAGGAGGAGGAGGCGACAACGAGGAAGGAGAAAGAGGTGGCGGTGGTGAAGGAGAAGAAGGAAGCAGAGAAAGGAGAGAAGAAGGTACAGAAGGTACAGAAAGAGAAGAAGGAGAAGGAGGGGGACAAGAAAGACAAGAAGGACAAGAAGGACAAGAAAGAGAAGAAGGAAAAGAAGGAGAAGGAGGGGGACAAGAAAGACAAGAAGGACAAGAAGGACAAGAAGGACAAGAAAGAGAAGAAAGAGAAGAAAGAGAAGAAGGAAAAGAAGGAGAAGGAGGAGGGAAAGGAGGGGAAGAAGGAGGAGAAAGAGATGGAAAAGACAGAGAAAAAGCTTGAGAAGGCTCAGCATAAGGCAGAGAAAGCGATGATGAAGGTTGAGAAGCTCAAGGAGAAGGTAGGGGCCAAGAAGACTGTCGCTGGGGGCGTGGAGAATGGAAAGCACAAGGAGGGAGGAGATGCCGAGACAGTGGGCGCTACCGTGGCCGCTGCCGCTACGGCTATTGAGAACAAGGTCGATTTGGCCACGGCCAAGGCTCGCGACGAGATTGCTAAGCTGACCAAGCAAGCCAGTCCTGAGCACCTTACTCACCAGATAGATAAGCAGATCCAGGCTACCACGGTACGTCATACGAATTGATGGATTGGATCATGTTACTTGTGCTGACAAAAGTTTTGTGCTATAGAACGACCTGCTCAGCTCACTGAAAGCCGAGTCGGATGCGGCCGCCGCCGAGATCAACAAGCAGTATCTGGCTGGGATTGACGTGCGTTTGTCTTGATAATGTTAGATACTGGCGGTTGTAGGTGACACGTGTATGTTGCTGTTGCAGGAACTCGGCGCTGATGCGCTGGCTATCCGCGTCGCGCAGCTAGCGACGGAGATGAAGCACCGCTCGAAGTGGGAGGCTGTGCGTCTGTTGGAGTCGCTTCGCCGCATGGAGGAGGATGCCCAAAAGAAAAGCGCGGAAGTGCTAAGCCGCCAGGACGAGCTGCACAAGGAGCTACTTGCCCGTGAGTTGCGCCTGCAGCAAGAGCTGCTGTCTCGCCAGTCGCGAGAGGAGATGTCTGCCCTCAAGAAGCAGTATGCCGATGACCTGGCGCGCAACGTAAACCAGCAGCGCGCGAGCTTACTGTCGGAACTGCAACGCACCTTTGCACGCGAGAGCAAGGCGATCGAGGAGCGTTACGCTCAGCAACTCGAGAACGCGACGGAGAAGATGCAGAAGACGCTGGCGGAGGAGCGTGAGAAACGGGTGCACGAGCTCCAAAACTACCGAGCCGAGTTGCGTGCCCTTGGTACGGTACTGGACAGCTCGTCAACGTACGAGGCTTTTAGTCACCGTGTGCACAAGGCATCCATGGCCGCACTGGCACTCTCAGACCGCGTCGAGGCTGCAGCCCCGCTGCGTAGCGAGATTCGCGCGCTGCGCAAGGCGGCGAGAAGCGACCCGTTCATTGAGGCGGTCGTTCAGTCGCTGCCGCAGGACGTGATCGAGCACGGTGCGCCTTCTGTAGGCCAGCTTCAGGAACGCTTCAAGGTGGTCAAGTCCGCTGGGCACCGTACTGCATTGGTGCCGGAGCATGGCGGGATCGTCAGTCAGGTGTTCGGCACAGCTTTGTCCCTGCTAATGATTCCGCCTGGAGGCCCGATCGAAGGCGCCGACACTGATGCAGTGCTATCTCGCGCTGAGTTTGCTCTGAGGGCAGGCGACATTGAGGAGGCCGTCGGGGAGATGAAGGGGCTGTCTGGCCTGCCTGCGCAAGTCTCGCAGGACTGGATTGCTGCTGCCGAGTCTCGATTGGCAGTCGAGCAGACGGCAAAGGTGATCAAGGCACACGTGGCACTGCTAGCGGCAAGCTGCTCGTAAGCAGGTAATGGAGTGCAGTAGCGATAGGGCCCGTTGCAGCACGCACGCACACGTGGTCGCCAATCAACGAATAAAGGGAGCAATGACAGCGACGCATTGTCTTGAAGTTCATCTTGTCACTCGATGCTGCTGCTGTCTCCAATGACGGTATGTGTTTACAACGTAGACAGTCAGTGAGTGAGTCACCAAGCTGATGCGAAAAGCGCTTGTATGTGGAATATTAACATGCACTTACTGATCCACCGATAAGTGCAAACAAGCTAAGCTGGAATCTACTTCATACATGGCCACTCAGAAGATGGACATCTTGCGCGCCGTGAGCTTCTGGCCTGGGCGCCAGCCGATCGTGGGCATCGCGTAGTACTCGGCAATGTTGCAGATCTCGAGCTTGCGCACCTTCTGCGTCGCCTGCGCGAACAGCAGCGCGCACTTGATGTTGTTGATGAGCGACACACCAAAGTCCACCGCGGCGCGACGGATCTTGTAGCCGCTCGTGAGCTCTTCACGGTTCGTGCCCTCCGGCACGTTGATCACCAGCTCGATCTTGCCCGACGAAATGTAATCAATCACGCTGGGCAGATCGCTCTCGGGGTCCGAAGGCTTGCGCAACGCAATGCTCCTGACGCCGTGGGTGTTCAAGTACTCGTGCGTGCCAAGCGTAGCGTAGATCGTGTAGTCCAACTCCTGCAGAATGAGCGCACCTTCAACAAACTCCCGCTTGATGTCCTCGCTACCGATTGAGATCAGCACTTTCTTTTCCTTCGGCATCTTGAACCCAGCACTTAACAGCGCCTTCAGGTACGCCTCGTGCATGTCGGTGCCAAAGCACGCCACCTCACCAGTTGACGCCATCTCAACACCTAGGCTCGGGTCGGCGCCGTGCAGACGCGTGAACGAGAACTGCGGCGCCTTCACGCCAACGTAGTCAATGTCGATCAGAGCAATCGGCACTGACTTGACCGGCAGGCCAATCATCGCCTTCGTCGCCAGGTTGATGAAGTTCACGTCGAACGTCTTCGAGATGAAAGGGAACGTACGCGACGCACGCAGGTTGCACTCAATCACCTTGACGTCGTTGTCACGGGCCATCAGCTGAATGTTGAACGGCCCGGTAATGTTCAGCGCCTGGGCGATAGCACTGGCAATGCGCTTCACCTGCTTAATCGTGCCCACATACAGCTTCTGCGCAGGCAGCACCAGCGTGGCATCGCCAGAGTGCACGCCAGCGTTTTCCACGTGCTCCGACATGGCGTAGTTCAGAATGGCACCGTCCTTGGCGACACCGTCGAACTCGATCTCCTTCGCATTCAGGATAAACTTCGACACGCTGATCGAGCGCGACATCTTCACGGCATCACTGTTCAGGTAGTTCTCGAGCTGGCACTCGTCAGAAGCCACGATCATACCAGCACCCGAGAGGACGTAGCTTGGGCGAACGAGCACAGGATACTGCACCTCCTTCGCAAACTCCAAGGCAGCGCCAATCTCTTTCACCTCGGCCCAGCGCGGCTGGTCAACGCTCAGCGTGTCCAGAAGCGCCGAGAACTTGTTACGGTCCTCGCACTGATCGATGCTCTCCGGATCCGTGCCCAAAATGTTCACGCCGGCCTTGGACAACGGCATCGCGAGGTTGTTCGGGATCTGGCCGCCAACAGACACAATCACACCCTCCGGATTCTCGCGGTCACAAATGTCCAGCACACGTTCTAGACTCAGCTCCTCGAAGTACAGGCGATCGCTCTCGTCGTAGTCGGTGCTCACGGTCTCGGGGTTGTAGTTTACTACAATAGCTGGCTTGCCGAGTTCACGGATCGTGCGTACAGCACTCACACCGCACCAGTCAAACTCCACGGACGAACCGATGCAGTACGCGCCACAGCCAAGCACCACAATGGCCTCCTCGCTCGCCGGGATATCGTCCTCAGAGCCGCCGTACGTCATGTACAAATAGTTCGTCTGCGCCGGGAACTCAGCAGCTAGCGTATCGATCTGCTTCACACAAGGCAGAATGCCCAAAGCCTTGCGACGCTCGCGCACTTGCATGGCAGAGGCGTCCGGCAGCTTGGCAGCGATCTGACGATCGGAGAAACCGTTCACTTTCAGTGTACGCATGAAGCGCTCACTCAGCGTGTCGAGTGTAAACTTGGGGACGGCCTGACGAAGCGTCGAGATGCGCGCCAGCTTGGACAAAAACCACTTGTCGATCTTTGTCAGCTCGTGCACGCGGTCAATCGTGTAGCCGGCATCCAGGGCCGAGATGATGTAGAACAGACGCTCGTCTGTAGGGTGGCTCAACTGAGCGTCGAGCACTTCGGGATTCGTCTCGTTGTCGACAGCGTTGCCATCTAGACCGTCCAGGTTCGGGTTCACCATACGCACCGCTTTCTGGATACATTCCTCGAAGTTACGGCCGATGGACATCACCTCACCCACGGACAGCATGTAACTGCCCAAGTCATTCGACACGCGCGAGAACTTCTTCAGATCCCAACGCGGCATCTTCACGACACAGTAGTCAAGGCTGGGCTCGAAGCAGGCGGTGGTCGTCTTCGTCACACTGTTCTTGATCGAAACGAGGTCAATGCCCAGCGAGATCTTGGTCGCGACATAGGCCAACGGGTACCCTGTCGCCTTCGACGCAAGAGCACTCGAGCGGGACAGACGAGCGTTTACTTCGATGATGCAGTACCGCTCGGAGTGCGGGTCCAGCGCGTACTGGATATTACACTCGCCAACAATGTTCAAGTGACGGACCACTTTCTGAGCCGTCGAGCGGAGCTTGAAGTACTCACTGTTAGACAACGTTTGCGACGGGGCAACAACAATCGAGTCACCCGTGTGGATGCCCAAAGGATCGAAGTTCTCCATGTTGCACACCGTGATGCAGTTGTCCTTGGCGTCGCGCACAACCTCGTACTCAACCTCTTTCCAACCGCGCAGATCCTGGTCGATCAAAATCTGCTTGATCGATCCTTTCGAAGCCGAACCGTGAAGTGCCTTGGTGGCCAGTACACGCAGTTCCTCATCGTTTGCGGCGAAACCCGAGCCAAGACCGCCCAACGCGAAAGCAGAACGCACTAGCACAGGGTAGCCAATATCGTTCGCAGCCTTCAGAGCACCCTCAACAGTCGTCGCCGGGTGGCTCAGCGCGATAGTCTCGCCAATCTCATCCAGCTTCGCTGAGAACTTCTCGCGATCTTCAGTGTCAATGATCGACTCGATCTGCGTACCCATGACACGCACGTGGTAGCGCTCGAGGTCTCCATTCAAGTACAGCTCGATACCAACCGCCAGAGCTGTTTGGCCGCCCATGCTCACCAGAATGCCGTCCGGCTTTTCCTTCTTGATGATCTCCAGCACCGTCTCGGCACGCACAGGTACAAAGTACACCTTGTCAGCCAGACCTTTCGACGTCTGTACGGTGGCAATGTTCGGGTTCACCAGAATGACGGTCACGCCTTCTTCGCGCAAAGCCTTGATAGCCTGCGAGCCAGAGTAGTCGAATTCACCCGCCTGGCCAATGGACAGGCCACCCGAACCAAGCAGCAAAACCTTGGAAAACGTCGGGCAGTCGTACAGGGAAGTGTCCAGGACCGTGAGCTTGGGCGGCGCACTGTTCACCTTTTCCAAGAACATGTCAAAGAGGAACGCCGTGTCCGTGGGGCCGCCGCACGCCTCGGGGTGAAACTGCACCGAGAAGAACGGCTTGTACTCGTGGATGATGCCTTCGTTCGACTTGTCGTTGGCGTTCATAAAGAACGTCTTCCATCCATCCGGCAGCGAGTTCGAGTCGACGGCGTAGCCGTGATTCTGCGGCGTGATGTAGCACCGCGTCGTGCGCATGTCAATGCACGGCTGGTTCATCCCGCGGTTGCCGTACTTCATCTTGTACGTCGTCGCGCCGGCCGCAAGTGCGAGGATCTGGTTGCCCAAGCAGATGCCAAAGATCGGCTTGGGGGTCTCCACGTTGATGGCCCATCGAATGCTGTCCACGGTCTTGGACGCCATCGTCGGGTCGCCCGGGCCGTTGCTGATAAAGATCCCGTCGTACTGCAGCTCGCTGTGCGGCAGGTCGTAGTCGTACGGCACGACCGTGAGCTCCACGCCCTTGCCGACCAAGTACCGAATGATGTTGTACTTCATGCCGCAGTCAAACGCCACGATCTTGGGCGACGCGCCTTCGTTGTACACGTTCACTTGCTTGGTCGTGACTTGCGCCACGAGGTTGAGCTTGTTGGGGTCTTGAATCGTCGTGGGCTGGTCGGGAAACTCAATCTTGCCGAGCACAGCGCCGCGCGAGCGAATGCGCTTCGTGAGCATGCGCGTGTCAATGCCAAAGAGCGCCGGCACGCCGTGGTGCGCGAGCCAGGCGCCCAGCGACTGGACGGCGTTCCAGTGGCTGTGCTGGAACGAGTACTCGGACACGATGAGGCCCGCGACGTGCACTGTATTGGACTCAAAGAACTTGGGCAGGCCGAACGCGTCCTTGACGTGCATGTCGGGCACGCCGTAGTTGCCAATGAGCGGGTACGTGAGCACGAGGATCTGGCCGCAGTACGACGGGTCGGACAGCGCCTCGGGGTACCCGACCATGCCCGTGTTGAACACGACTTCGCCCGACATACTCGTGGCCGCGCCGAACGAGTACCCGGCGTACGTCGTGTCGTCCGCCAGCACGAGCGTACCGCGCGTGACGTTGTCCGTCACGCCGGGCACGTCGGCGGCCACGGGCGCGAGCACAAGTGGCTGCGCGACGGACGTAGTGCTCTCGGAAAAGGTCACGGACGCCATGTGCGTTGAAGTTGCAAGGCACGAGTGCGGACCCGAGTGATGGTCAGGGAAATTAGGGCTGCGGTTACGTGCGAGCGAGCGGGCGTGCGCGTGCGGTGGCAAAAGGCAAAGTAGGCGCTTAGCGTGCCACGGTGGACGCGGGTGGTGTGTACCTGCGTCAGAGTAAGTGGACGACGAGCGGACGGGCAGCTGCAAGGAGCCAATCACGG